TTGGGTATATGAAACCGTGCATGGTGCTTTGGCTTGATGTGGTCATAGCCAAAAGCAGCCTGCGTCAACTGGTGATGCTCAACCTGTAGTGATTGTAAATAATTCAACGGATCCACATCTTCACGGGCCAGGTTGCGTAGCTCCACGGTGATGCGGCGCAAGACACGCATGCTTTTCAATGCTGCAGTAAAGGTGTCATCATGCCCTAAACAGCCTTCCAGGAAATGCAGGAACAGTGGGAAAAACGATTGCAAATTGCTTGCGCTCCCTTTGTAAGAAACACCAGAAAACATGGACTGGTGACATAAGCTGCGCCTCCAAGATTTTGTGTTTGATGGTTTGGAGGCAGTTCTCCAATTCAGAGAGAAGAAATCATCGATATTGCCATTGTTGGTTTTTGTCCACATACTGTACACAGCGTTGACTTCCCAGCTGACTATTCCATTCGACCAGTAGACATGCATGGTGTCTAAGAGAAAACTTGAAGGTGGTAAAATTTCACGGACCACTCGATCTGAAAGCATCGCTTTGTCACAGACATTGAACCCTGAAGACTTTTCTTTTTTCTCCATTGCTTTTTTGGTCAAAATTCTTTGCTGGTTCAAAAGATAATCCCATAGCTGGAAAATGTCTGCATCTGTTTGTTCGTGGAAGCTGTCGATATTCGATGAGGCAATATCATGAAAAAGGTCAGAAAACTGTTCCAGTCCAGCATTTTTCTTCACAACATTTGCGCATAGGAAGCAGCATCGAATTGCGGCTGAACCTTTCAGGCTCAATGCTCCTCTGATACTGTCAAGGTCTGAGATGACCCATTTCAGATCACATGTCAACAAGGTATTGCCACTTGGCAAGGAAACAGGAATACCTGTATGAAGTTCTTCCATGATGGATCGAAAAATTTTCACTGAAATTGCAGAGAAGCCTCCAGCGGCCTTTTCGAAATCATTGTGCGGAACAAGGCACAATGGATGCCACACCTGGTCACACCAACGCCATCCAAGTTGTTGGATGCAAAAGTACCAAAGACTAGCCTTCTTCCCAGAAACTGGAGCTAGTAGATTTCCCCCTTGTGCCTCGTCGTTGTAAAGCACCAAGTCGAATTTCATACCAGGATTCTGTTGCAAACATGTTTCAATCAGTAGTGCATATTCCTTGCATGTGCTGACAATGTGCTGCAGCAATCTTTTCACTTGTGCAACGTAAAAAGTCAAAGGATCACCATCGACACCTTCGACAGACACCGGCACAAAGATATCAGGAGACATTTCTCGAGCAATTGCATTCCACTTTGTTCTATCAACTTGTTCATCAGGTTGGCTTAGCGCTCTGCATGCTGCGTTGAAAATTGTTCGTCGTGATTCTTCAGAAACTCCATAGAGTCCTTGGGATTCTTCGATAGTGCTAGCAGCTGGACATGAAGGAATTGTTTTCCTTTTCTTGCCCATCTGCAAAAACAACTATTTTTTTTTGAGCCATTGTGCACAAAGTAAAAATCTAGGCCAAACAAAAGGGATTACGAAACCAAATGTTATTCAATATTATGATTAATGCGGCCCAGTGGGCCGCAGGATGCTGAAACTAAATATTGTGTTACCATTGTTTTTCACATGTTGGTCTTGCAGAAGTACACACATCCATCAACGCAAGCACTACGTTACAACAGCTTTCGAAGTGAACCTGACTTGCACTGATACAATTGGATTTGAAAAAGACGTGCGTCACAGCAAGTGCAAATGAATGAAAATACATATTAAAGCTGCGGCCCATTGGGCCGCAGCAAACTATACTCTGGCAACATATGCTGTGAAAAAAATAAACAATCAATGCGGCTCATTGGGCTGCAGAAAGCAACCTCTCGAAAAAGAAACAATACTGCGGCCCATGGGGCCGCATCCGCAATTCAAGTTGGAGTAGGTTCTTTCTCAGCTCGAAACTGCGCATGCCACTTTGTGCCGTATGCACTGCACCCTGCAAATGCAGCGAAGGCAAATCCTTATAATGGAAAGTTTCATTTCCATATATTCATATTCACAAAAAGAAAGAAATTGCTGTCCAAGCAATTTGACGCAAAATCAACCGTAGATTCTGCTGCTCCATGAAGTGATGCCTTCACTTCTTGCTTTTGAAACTTTTCTTGATGTCCTGTGCGCACTTGTTCAAGTCCTTCATCAGGTCATTCACCTCCTTCTCGCTGTCAAAGTCCAGGGGCTTGAGCTCGCAGGCTGGATTCTTGCTATAAAAGTGCAAGGCAGCTGCGGTCTGGTTCTTGTACTTCTCGACCTTGCCCATCTTCTCCTTAAATTTCTTCAAATCTTCATCATCGCCAAAGCCGGCTGCTTCAGCCTTGGTCACAACTTCACCAGCCTTGTGAAGAGCCGTTGCCAGGGGAACGCTGAGCCTGGAGCTCATCGAGATCACCTTCTTTGTCACTGCCTTGCTCTTTTTCTTGCGCTCAGCTTCTTCTTTCTTTGCATCACGCTTGGCGTCCTTTTCAGCCTTGCTGGCCTCACTCTTCAATTTCTTTTCGACCTGTTTTGGTGTCATCTTCTTGTTGCCGCCAGAATTGATCTCAGCCTCCTCTTCACTCTCTGTGTCCAAGTCCATGTCGTCCACTGGCATGCTGGTTGCCATTGACTTCTTGTCATCTTCATCCGTCAAAGCCACTGCCTTCCTCTTGTGGACATTCCGTTCAGCTTCCAAGATTTTGGCCTCGACTGACTTGTGAACCTCCTGCTCATCCACTGTTGTTTCACACAGCAGGTAGACATAGTCGTTCAAGCCTGCGCTCCACATCCTCGGATTCCTGATTTCAAACTCACTATCGATATGGTATCCTCGATTTCGGTACACTGAAATCGGGAGATACGTCCCCCCGACCTGGACGCGCCTTTGGCGCAGCGTCTCTTCTCTCAATGTGGTCAGCAATTGATTGCGAACTGCTTTGTATTGGAAAAAGCCTTTTTTGCTCTCTTCTTTTGACCTCTTGCAATTGGCAAAGAATGAGCACTGTTGCTCTTCCGAAAGTTCTGTGAATGCAGGAGGGGGCCAGCTCTGGTGTCGCTTCAACAAGCTGTACAGAGCGTTGCACTCCTTACACCAAAGCTCTCGTGGACCTCGAACCACAGCATCCTCCAACTTCAGCTCCAGGTTGCACTTCTTGCAAAACAACACTGGCTCGTCATCCACCAGTGTTCCTTCTTCGTCAACAAAAGCATTGCTTCTCACCAAGGCATTGCTCTCCTCAGCGACTGGTTTGGGACTCTGGCTGCCCTCCACATAGGCCTGGGTGGCTGGCATTGCCAACTTCTCAGCAATCTTCTCAGGGTCTGTCTCCAAGGCTTCCTTCTGCTCTGCCGACTGGTCGTTCTCCTCCTGTGGCTTCTCAACCTGTGATGGCAAAGCTTCGGAAGGCGATGCCAAAGCGTCAGGCTGGGGTGCCAAAGCTTCAGCCTGGGATGCCAGAGGTTCACACTGGGATGCCACAGGTTCAGACTGATCAGCCTGGGAGTCTTCCATCACCTGGGTGTCTTCAACCACAACGGTATCCATGGTTTCAAGGCAGCGCGGACTGGTCATGCAAGAACTAAAAGAAGTTTGATGTCAATAAATTGCAAATATGTTTTTTTCTTCACTGTCAAGTATTGGATTTCTTTGTTAAACAATCTGAACTAAAGCGAACCATTGATCCGCTGAAAATAGATGCCTGGCACTGTTTGGAACGTGCAGAAGACATTCAAAAACTGTTGAACTAAAGCGAACCATTGATCCGCTGAATTCAGATACTTTGCATTGCTTGGAACTTGCTGAAGATATTCAAGGAATGTTGAACTCAAGCGAACCATTGATCCGCTGCATTTTGAATTTTGGTAATGTCGGGAAAGTGTTCAAGATAATAATCAGATAAAAAATGTGTATAAATAATGTAAATAATGTATAATGTATAAATAATGTATAAATAATGTATAAATAATGTATAAATAATGTATAAATAATGTAAAAATAATGTATAAATAATGTATAAATAATGTATAAATAATGTATAAATAATGTATAAATAATGTATAAATAATGTATAAATAATGTATAAATAATGTATAAATAATGTATAAATAATGTATAAATAATGTATAAATAATGTATAAATAATGTATAAATAATCTATAAATAATGTATAAATAATGTATAAATAATGTATAAATAATGTATAAATAATGAATAAACAATGTGTAAATAATGTAAAAGAAATGTTTAAATAGGTTATGAATGAAGCAATAGCTGCCCAAGGGGCCGCTTAGAATTGCTATTGATTCAGATTATTCAGAATGATTTAGCGCTTTTTTTGCAATCTGTTTCTCAATGCTCAAAACTGTCAGGTTCACAGATGTAGCGGTCTTCAACGACGACCCTTGTTCTTCTTAGCTTTCTTGCCTTTCTTCTTGGGAACCAAAGGTGCCTGCTTGTCCTTGATCTCATCAGTGGTCTCCTGCTGGCTCTCCTTGGTCTTTGATCCATCCTTGCTCTCTTCAGATGCAGGGACAAAAACCGATGAGCTGGAGCTGGCTGAAGGGTCATCTATCTTCTTGTCAAACACACCACGGGCACGCATTTCAATCCACTGTTCAAACCAATAGCGGACCTCGTCATCTGTGTAGGTGCTTGGATCACCCACCAAGATCGAACCATCGCTTCGGATCAGGAAGCCATACTTCGGTGCATCAGGATGGTTCTTCACGATCATGGCGCCAAAAAGTAAACGGATTTTTAAAAGCTGTGATCCAAAACTGAACATATTCATAAAAGTTATGTGTGTACATTCACCCATCCATCTTAAACTTTTCCTGATGCAGCCCAAGGAGCCGCACAGGTACACTACCTAATTCTTCAGATCTAGAAATGTAGCGGCCCAAAGGGCCGCTTGATAAAATCAGATACTCAAATAGTTTTGCAGATGAACTTTTTGTCATCGGTGACGCACATTCGAGTTCAATTTAAATCTGCTACATCCATGACTTGTCTGGTGTGGCATCTGGCCATTTAGATGACCACCAATCACCTTCGGCCTCTGCATCAGTCTTTTCTGGCCATTCAGATGACCACCAATCACCTTCGGCATCTGCATCAGTCTTTTCTGGCCATTCAGATGACCACCAATCACTTTTGGCATCTGCAGTCGTCTTTTCTGGCCATTCATATGACCACCATGGATCACCTTCGGCATTTGCTTGGTTTTTTTCTGTGCGTGGACCTCTTTTTCTAAATTTATTCCTCACGAGGCGCTCATACTTTCGACGGGATCCAAGCATTTCCTTAGAATGACGGTGCAAGCTCCAAGAAAACATGCAGGTATAATCTTCAACCAAACAAAAAGAAAAACATAAACAAACAAATACATGAAATTGACAAGTGCAGTGACATAGTAGTATCCTTCATGAGCAGGTCCTGCAGGCCCACGCACTCGTTCCTGATCTTTTCTCTGTTCATTCGGCATTGGCAGTGGGGCTGGAGGAGGCTGCTTAGGCGGTGGTAGTGGTGGAAGTGGAGCAACCGTCTTGGGCTCATTGGTGCATGGAGCTGCTGCTTTGACTGGAGGTCGCACTGGGCAGCTTTTAGGTTTGCTTTCTTGGATCGGCACATGTTCATCGTGCTTTCGAAGGTCACCAGCAGCTCTTTCACGTAGAGCATCTTGCAACAATGCATTCAGGAGTGCATGTTGTATCCTATCTTGTAGATCAGGGCCGACGCTGTCAACCTCTGTCTTCTCACTTTCATCAATTTCTTGCTTCACTTCCTGTCCAAATTGGCATTGGGATGCTTGTTCTTGCTTCATCTTCTCTGCTTCTTTTTGCACCTCTGCCTCCCACTCGAGCTGGTCCGTAAACATGTCGTACTCCTCATCAGCGTTGTGAAGCTCATGAGCAAGCACCATCAAGGAAGCTGCATCCCGAGCTTGTTGTTGAAGTGAACTTGGAGCTGAAGGGGCTTCACCAGATGTAGCAGTTCGACTCCTGCTCTGTTGCTTCCATTGCTCCTGCACTCTGTCAGCCTCGTCCCATGCATCATAGTAACTCAACATTATCGTATATGTACACCTGAGCCCAAAAAAAAATGCGTGTTTGATTTCAAAATTTTCAATACATGTAGGATGCGTTTTATACATACTAGCCATCATGTTTCTGCGGCCCAGTGGGCCGCATGTACGTCTCGACCATTTTAATCAACTTCACGTGACGGATCAGAAGTCTCAAGTCTCAAGATATCTCTATAGAGTTGTTATTTAGTAATATAGCAAACTATAACTATGAAGTTCTTGCGTCCCAAGGAGCCGCAAGTATATGCAATCAATATTTAAAAGAACAATAATGCTGCCCAATGAGCCGCACAGAAACCAACATACACAAAACCTGGGAGGTCGAAAGCCGCAACTTTTTTCATGCCACGGATCGACAGTCAAACAGGGCGGTAATTTCTTTTGATCCAACAAGAATCGCAACAGCCAGCCACAAAGCGGCAACCGGAGCATCCCTCTGGTCGAAGCTTCAACCTTTGCTTCTTGGTGATAGGGCCTTTGCAGTGGCCTCCTGACTTGGCTTGCTTCTTCTTGCATTCCATCGTCTTGCTGCTATCTTTCTTTTCCTTTTTCTTCGTGGCTTTCTGCTTGGGCACTTCTGGAACACGTGGGACCACTGAAGAGGAAGAAGCTGGGCGCTTCATCTGACTTTTCCTTGTTGCTTTCGTGGCAGGACGTTTGAGGCAAGGCTTCTGTTCTTCTACTGTTTCATCGTCCTTCTGGTCTTTCTGTTTGTCTTTCTTTTCGTCGTCTTGCTTTGCCTTGCTATCCTTTTTCTCAGCATCTCGAGCTGAAAGTGCTTTCTCCAACTGCATGGACACATCGACAGCTGAAGTGCCTTGACCATGTTCTTTCTTATTGACATCATCCTGAACCGATCCATCAGTGAGAGCCAAAGGCTTTTTCACTGGAGTCGCCCTCGCAGGAACCACTTCAATCTCAGTGGCCACAACAGGTGCTGTGACAGCAGCTGCTGTCACAGCTGGTGCGGTGACAGTTGGTGCTGTCACAGCGCTTGGTGAGACAGCCGATGTCGCAGAAGGTGGTGCAGGTAAAGCCAATTGTCCAGGATACTGCAGTCCCAACTGAGACGAAGCAGGTTGACACAGATTTGCAGGTGCAGGCAATGCAGGCAAGGAAGGTTGATGCATTCCGGGTGACATCATCATCCCATGGTGCATAGGCAGAGCCATCGGCATCATGCCCATATTTCCCATCAGCATTCCTCCATGCATGCCTGGGACTTGCCACGGCACACTCTTCGGCAAACTGATTGAAATGCTGCTGCTGTTTGAACGTTGGGGCACTACGTTCATCCAGTGTTGCAAGTATTCCATTGTGATGCCTTCAGGTAGAGATGCAGGTCCATCTCCTTCAGCATATGCGGTTGCCACCCTTTCCTGCTCCAAAGCGGCAACCACTGGAGGAAGATCTTTGTGAGTCCAAGTAGGCTGCAGATTGCCGATGCGACCCTTCAGAAAACTCTTCACCAAGCCCTTGACAGAAAGGTAGCTCGATCGTAGCTGAACGGCATCCATAAATCTCTGGGTCTCAGTGAGAAGAAGAACAACGGTAATCATCGCATATGTATCTTCATTTGGTGACCGCAGGTCAAGCTTCCACAGTCTATCCATGACAACTGAACACTTCTGAGCAGCAGGAATCGTGGTTGTCATGACGATCTCCCAATCAGATTTTGTCAAGTACTGAGGAAACCAGGTGAACTGTTGATGTTGCACTCGATCTCTAACCACACCCTTGCCCCCCATGGATTCTTGCACTTTCCTGTGAATTGCTTGGGAGATGGTCTCCTTGTGCGGTTTGGACCAAAGCTGATTCTGTTGAACCATGGCTAGTAGGGGAGCTCCTTCATCGAAGTCTAGCTTGGTAAGGTTCTGAATTTCCTTTGCCAACTGGACGCACTGCTGCTCCAAGATCTCATTGAAATTGGCAAGCCCTGAGCAAGACTGCAGGTAAGTCTCAAGAGCCCTCATTCGATCGAACGCCATGTTGCCGATCCCGTATGGGAGCTTACCGTAAACTCAAAGAGAGCTGAGGTCTGGGCATTTTTTTACCAGTGATAAAGAAAAATAAAAAAAGTAACAGATAAATATATCTATATCTATACCTATATCTATATATAAGCTACTGTTGTTTCAATGCAAAAGCGAGTATAACACTAATCCTATATTTCATACTGCGGCCCAATGCGCCGCATGCAGGCAGTTGAAACAAAGAAGAGATAGAACCTTGCTGCCCATTGGGCCGCATTCAGTTGAACACATGGCGATCCAATATCGGATGTTGCTGCCCAGTGGGCCGCAGTGAATCATCCAGTCGAACCTTTGCTGCAGCTGTTCTTCACTTTTTTCGGGCAAGCCTACAGCAAACAGTGAAATATCTAAAGCTCCATGCTCCATGGCTGTGGTGCAACACCTATAGATAACATACTCGTAAGCAGTGGCAGTAATAGTGCGTCAGCTACTACGAAATAATTTGCAGCCCAGTGAGCCGCACAGTGCTTTGTCATCTTTACAAATCCTTGGGCCGGTGGATCAAACCGTGTCAGTTATTCTTTGTTGCTGGACCTGCGTAGCAAAAAATGATGCCTGGAACATTGTTTATGACAATCATAGACTTGAAAAGTCGGACATGATCCACAAGACGCTGATCAAAAAAATATGGCAATCTCACCCATATATTTTCCTTTGTCTGGAACATATGTCCAGATGATCTCACAACACAGATGGTAATGTGTTGACAAAATACTATAAATCAATTCTGGTTTGTCTGGAACATGTTGGCAGACAATATTTGCAACAAATGGTGGTGATACATGATACCGTTTGCCAAAGAACACGCAAATGCAGGTATATGTTGAAAACATTGGGTCCTTACATCACATCATATCATGTCACTTTTTTGTTTGTCTGGAATATGTTTCCAGATAACATCACAATACATTGGGCAATTTGTTGGCATAGAACCATGCCATTGATTGTTTTGTTTCAAAAATGTTTCCGCACCATGTTGGGTCGTTACATTTACATCATACCATGTCACTTTTTTGTTTGTCTGGAATATGTTTCCAGATGACATCACAATACATTGGGCAATGTTTTGGCATGGAACCATGTCATTGATTGTTTGTCTCAAAAATGTTTCCGCACAATGTTTGAAAATTTTCATGGATCTCAAAAAAATGAAATAACAATTCCACGCGTTTCCATGCCTGAGAAAAAAAAAACGTCAACCATTCCACAAAGGCAATTTCAAGATCAGACCGATGACGGTAATTTCAAGATCACACATGACACGTCCAATCCACCGTGTTCATTGCAACAAACATGTGGAAATCATTCCACTCAAAACATAAAAACATGTCACGCAAAAAACGAAACAAATACAATGATTGGGTTCAAGATTTGTGGTTGCATGTTCACATGTTGTTTCATATTTTGTTTTGTTGACACATGCGGGTTTGGTTTACATAAAATAAACAAAAAACAAAATTTGCATCAATTGCATGCATATATGCACCTTTTGGTGCTCATCAAGAGACTCGATACAAATTTGCAACTAATCCCAAATCACCATCGAAAATTCAAAAAAAGTATCGGAAAACCAAAAAGCACGTTTTCAAACATCAAAAAAGACATGTTTCCTAAGTTATTTTTAAGTTCAATACATGATATTTTTTAACCAAAGCCAAAACAACTTAGAAAACTTATAAAAACATAATAAGTCAACTAACTAAATTATAGAACTTATATTTTGATAACTTTGACATGAAACTTAAAAAACTTAAAGAACATACAACTACTTAAAACGTACTTACACATAGATATAAATATGCTGTAAGTCAATAATAACTTTGCCATCCAAAACCCGACTACTAAGTATGGGCTTGCAAAGGTACCAAACCCTCCAAAACCGTCCAAACCCTCCAAAACGTCCAAACCCTCCAAACACCGTCCCCAGCAGGCACCCAAGGCCCCGGGCCAAGGCCACAGCAATGGCTTTCTATTGGCTTTCAAAGCTGCCGTTTGCCAGCCCGCAAACGCTTCAAAACTCTCCAAACCCTCCAAAACCGTCTAAACCCTCCAAACACCCTCCAAACACCTTCCGCCACAGGCACCCCAGGGCCAAGGCCACTTCTCAAACAAGCACCCCGGGGCCAAGGCCCTGGGCCAAGGCCACAGCAATGGCTTTCTATTGGCTTTGAAAGCTGCCGTTTGCCAGCCCGCAAACGCTCCAAAACTCTCCAAACGCTCCAAAACCATCACCCTCCAAACACCCTCCAAAACCCTCCAAACACCTTCCGCCACAGGCACCCCAGGGCCAAGGCCGCAGGCACCCAAGGCCCCGGGCCAAGGCCACAGCAATGGCTTTCTATTGGCTTTCAAAGCTGCCGTTTGCCAGCCCGCAAACGCTCCAAAACTCTCCAAACCCTCCAAAACCGTCTAAACCCTCCAAACACCCTCCAACACCCTCCAAAACCCTCCAAAAACCTTCCGCCACAGGCACCCCAGGGCCAAGGCCACTTCCCCAACAGGCACCCCAGGGCCAAGGCCGCAGCATAGCTTTCTATGGGCTTGCAAAGGCACCAAACCCTCAAAAACCGTCCAAACCCTCCAAAACGTCCAAACCCTCCAAACACCGTCCCCAGCAGGCACCCAAGGCCCCGGGCCAAGGCCACAGCAATGGCTTTCTATTGGCTTTCAAAGCTGCCGTTTGCCAGCCCGCAAACGCTCCAAAACTCTCCAACCCTCCAAAACCGTCTAAACCCTCCAAACACCCTCCAAACACCTTCCGCCACAGGCACCCCAGGGCCAAGGCCACTTCTCAAACAAGCACCCCGGGGCCAAGGCCCCGGGCCAAGGCCACAGCAATGGCTTTCTATTGGCTTTCAAAGCTGCCGTTTGCCAGCCCGCAAACGCTCCAAAACTCTCCAAACGCTCCAAAACCATCACCCTCCAAACACCCTCCAAAACCCTCCAAACACCTTCCGCCACAGGCACCCCAGGGCCAAGGCCGCAGGCACCCAAGGCCCCGGGCCAAGGCCACAGCAATGGCTTTCTATTGGCTTTCAAAGCTGCCGTTTGCCAGCCCGCAAACGCTCCAAAACTCTCCAAACCCTCCAAAACCGTCTAAACCCTCCAAACACCCTCCAAACCCTCCAAACACCTTCCGCCACAGGCACCCCAGGGCCAAGGCCACTTCTCAAACAAGCACCCTGGGGCCAAGGCCCTGGGCCAAGGCCACAGCAATGGCTTTCTATTGGCTTTCAAAGCTGCCGTTTGCCAGCCCGCAAACGCTCCAAAACTCTCCAAACGCTCCAAAACGAGCGCGTCAGGGAAGAGAGGTTGTGGACAACAAGAAATACAACAACGGGTCGGGGATCAGCAGCAGCAGCAAAAGCCTCTGCAGCAGCAGGAGGAAAAGGTAGCCAAAATTCATAGCAGCAGCAAGAGGAAAAAGTAACCAAAATCATCATTTTCTATGCGTTTTCGCTAGACATTTACGGGGTGCAATTTTGGGGTTTCTCCGTCCTTCACTGCCATGGTGTTTTCCCATCCGGGGACCAGCAGCAGCAGCAGCAAAAGCTTCTGCAGCAGCAGGAGTAGGCAGCAGCAGGCAGCAGCCAGCAGCAGCAGCCAGCAGCAGGCAGGAAAAAACATGGGGTTACAATGACAGTCCTAAAAACGGAGGGTACTTGACACTCAAAGTATATATCAATCCATCCGTCTTTCTTCCTATGCCACTATCTATCTACCCAACAATCGATCTATCCATCTGTTTATCCAACTGTCTATCTACCTATCTGTCATCTATCTCTCTCTCTCTCTCCCTCTCTCTCTCTCTCTCTCTCTCTCTGTCCCTCTATCTATCCATCTGTCCAACAATCGATCTATCCACCTGTTTATCTAACTGTCTATCTACCTATCTATCAATCTATCTCTCTCTCTCTATCCCTCTATCTATCCATCGATCTATCTCTCTCTCCCTCTATCTATATATCTATCTATCTATCCATCCATCCATCCATCCATCCATCCATCTCTCCCTCTCCCTCTCCCTCTCTGTCTCTCTCTCTCTCTCTCTCTCCCCACAGTGCCCCCCAAATAGAGGGGTCGGCGGCACCTGGGCGCTAGCCCATTCTATAATTCCTGCAATGGTTCTTTAAACCCACCCAGTGACAAATGACTCACTTGAGATATCCTGGTTTGCACCGCTGGATGGTGGATTCCATCCGAAAGTTTGTTGGTGGAATTCCCATCTCGCCATGTTTGCTCGTCAAACTCCTGCTTTGCTGTTGTTTGAAATCTCCACATTTGTTGATGTCTTTCACCATTTTTGTGTGTTGAAATTAAATCTGTGGTGTATTTCCCATTGACGGTTGGATAAAATGCCAAAATCTGTTGGCTAAAACCTCCACGTGTGTTGGTTAAATCTCAATTGCGGTGTTCTTAATGGAAAAAAACTGTCTCTTCGTTGGTGAGTCCTCTACGTACGTTTGTTATTGATTAAAACATGCATGTTTGCTCATGTTTGTTGGTTTAATCCAATGCGATTCTAACTGGTTGGTTTCAGTTGAAACGCGGGCAAGACATGGTCGTATCTAAACTTCCAAATCACTTTGCAGAGTTCTTCATTTTTCCCGTCTGCCCCCAGTCTGGGGCTTTGTTCTGCACTTCCAATCCTTGCATACGTCATTGGTACTGGCTGTCCTCCACCCTCAATCACAGAGCAGTGGCATCATGCCTTCCGAATAACAAGATTCACTTTCTAGTTGCCTGCGCTCATACTCAGACATCTACATTCACATTGTCTTTTCTCAAAGACCCATGATTGGTCGAGTTCTGCTGAGCAAGTCATGTTGATGCTCAATACACTGCCATGCACCCAAAGTATACACCGCCCATGCAGCCAACAAACTCCTAACAGCACCCTTTACATGAAAGAAGCTGGAGCCGTTCCCCTGGATCAAGAAGTCAAGGAGCTTTTGACACGGACATGCATTGCCCCATATCCTTCACCTGTTTCAGCATTTCCACGATCTTCGGGTAGACGAGCTGTGGGAAGCGGATTGGTGATTCCGGCCTCAGTCGAAGCGTGGCGCGCAGTTGCAGCATAGAACAGTGTCTGAAGGACACCATCAGTGTCATGATTATGTCATTCACAACCCATGGCACCACGGCACTGAGGCTTTTCTGCGGGTGCAAAGGCTGCTGCTTTAGCTGCTGCTGCATCAGCTGCCTGAGGTGCCGCAGGCGCCGCAGGCATCGCAGGTGCTGGTGCCGGTGAAGCTCTGATATCTTCTCGTGCTCCCTCACTCTCCTCACCTCAAGTCTTGACTCCATGGAACCACCAAGTTGTGAGCACTCCTCGTGTTTGAGGACGTGTATAGTATGACACCAGCGCGTTTCCACATTGACAGACTGCTGAAATTTGTGAAGTAAATTTCTGTTGTATGGTGTTCAAGATTCCTGTTGCTACTCAATGGTCACAGATTCCCGAAGGGATCTTGATTGAAACAGGAGAGATTGTGCAAGAAATTGTGCAGGACGTGGAAGGAACCCCCACCCAAAGAAACAATCACCGTTTGGCCAATTTTCCCTCTCGTCTTGCAATCCAAGAACCTACAACCATCGCTGACCACCTTGGCCTCAGTGAAGAGCTTAAAAGTTAGTCATTTCTGCTTGCGCAACGCTTGCACAATCGTTGCATGCCTCGGAATCTTTCAGAGTTGACTACGCCTTTGCTGAAAATCATAAAGTCAATTGAGAGCTAGGACGAAGCTTGCACAAACGCACAAACATAAAGCTTGTCCGAAGGTTGTTAAAAGCTCTGTGTTGTCCCATTCAAGTTCTGTAAGAAAAAAATCTGCCGAAGACTAAAGTGATCTACGGGCAGTTTTGAGCGCAGCTCAGATGACCTATCTAATCTATTGTGAGCTATCCGCTTCAACAGACTATGGCCATTGTGTCCAAGCAACACATTATCCTCTATCAGCACCTTCTTGTAAGGACGAATATATTCGTCATCGTTCCAGGTCTGCACAATAAAGCGCGGTTGGCCAGCCTAACAAGGCATTTGTGCAGAACGAACCTTTCGTCCAACATGTCTTATAAGACGTCCTCTGAATCTTGTGCAATTGAAGGCAAACGTCCAACGCTGAAGCTCCTGACCTCCCGGCCCCTATCATACTTGCTCCATGTCAGCATCCTCCTACAAAAGCACAGTCAGACGTGCAAGACTGACATCTTTAATAATTTTCTTGATGACGAGACTTTATCAATGCTCATCACAACCACAGCTTTCGAGTCAAGAGATTTGCTACAGGGATCCAACTTGCTGCAGACTGATTGAAAATCTGCGGACTTCTCGGCATTGGAAAGTTACAGCAGGAGCAACTTTCTTCCAGTCCTGAGCTGGCCGACGTGCTGTTGGAGTCGAGAGCGTCTCAGAATCTTCTCGACTTCCTCCAGTTTGGCCCAGCCATCCTGGTCCCGCTCGAGGCCCTTCTTCCTGACAAGCTGACATATCCCCGGACTCGCCAACTGGCTCTGTCCTTTTCTCATCATCTCATCAATTGCAACGTTCAACTCTTCAACTGCACCATAGGGAATTCAGCATTCTACAGCCTGCATGTCAAACACCTAACCTCTCCAGCTGGGGCTCAAGCCTCGCTTTCTCAGGGTCTCTCAGTATCGGTGCCAACCAGCGGGAAAGTTCATCTAGAATCTGTTCCTCCTTGAGTTTGAGGAAAAGATCGGGGGCAAGTCAAAGGCGTGAAGGGTAAGTACAAAAAGGTCCAAACGGTGTATCCAAACCCCAAATTAATGGAACTTGCACGTCACCTTGCACATTGCAAAAACACAAAATGGTTGAACTCACCAGGGATGCATAACCCAAGCAGTCCTCTGTCGAGTGGCCCTTGGAGGCCATCGGTTTGCTATTAAATGATTTCATTGCGATTTGTCCCAACGGCCGGCTCTCAGACCCATCAGAATGATTGGGAGAAAGAACAAAGTCAAATTCCATGCTCAAAAAGTGTGTTTCCATTTTATTATGCTACCAAAGTTCCCTAAGTATTCAACAACCGCCAAGCAGACAATCAAACACCATTGTATTTCTGAAGTTGTCGGTGCTGGTTTCGCCTGTGCGTCTGTTACTCAAACATCTTCAAGGCAATTGAATTTTGGAAACAACTTTGGGGACCAACATGCGCGTTGCAAACAACCGCAGCCGTCGAATGGTCGAGCCCAAAGGCTTGAAGATGGTAAAGAATTCTGCTGGTCGCTCAAGGCGGAGACTTCAACCCAAACAAACATCATTCAAAGCACATGTCGGACCTCAAAACAAAGGAAAAGTCCTTTCAACACTTGGGTTTTTCGTTATCCAAGACTGTAACTGCAATCACCTTTCGCTTCCAGACTAAATCAGTCACTATGTTTCTACTTGGACATAGGAGGTGTAATGTGTTTTCTGCGCCTGCCGTCTGCATGTCATACGCATACAATGTTCTGGCCACAGCCAAAAAATACAGAGTCGGAACACATTGGTGCCTCAGCACTTGCCTGTTGGTCGTCAAGCTGTGCGCTTTAAAATGGGAGCGTTTTCGCTCCTAAGCTGAGATCTGTTATACTTCCTACTCTCCAGCTATCATTAAAAGAAGTGTCAACCGAAACGGTTGTCAGGGCCTGGTCTCTGCGCGACTACAGCAAATATAAGGCTGGATAGTCATCTTTGACATGTTTCACCATGCAAATTTTCAGTAGGATGGTTGATCTTCAACAAGAAGGTGCTTGCAGCCAGGGTCCTGAAGGGAAGAAATGTGGTTCGTGACCACAATCCAACAATGTTTGCAGGTCACATTTTATGTGATGTTTTGGCTATAGGAAACTATACTGCAAATGATGTCAATTGCCGGAGCACCCAATGCACAGACCATTGGTGCTCCGAATTCACTTTTTGCCTTTCACGGACGGTTCCACCTGGTTCTAGGCTTTCTGGACTCAATTGGCCTTGCAGGGTAACCAAAGATCTTCAGGATGTCGCGTACCTCGTGGCGAACACGTTCAAGCGGCACGGCCGCCAATCATGTTCTCGTTCAGCAATAACGCTGATACAAAAAAATAAACAGAGAGAAGAACACGGCTGTAAACAACGCAATTGCTGCTGAAGATGATGTTGACAACAACCATCATAGTGGTTCTGAAAGTCGTCATGATCATGGGTGATGATGGCGATTCTAATGGTGATGTGGTGATTGTGATGGTGCTGGTGCTACTGGTGCTACTGGTGCTGGTGCTGCTGGTGCTGCTGGTGCTGCTGGTGCTGCTGGTGCTGCTGGTGCTGCTGGTGCTGCTGGTGCTGCTGGTGCTGCTGGTGCTGCTGGTGCTGCTGGTGCTGCTGGTGCTGCTGGTGCTGCTGGTGCTGCTGGTGCTGCTGGTGCTGCTGGTGCTGCTGGTGCTGCTGGTGCTGCTGCTGCTGGTGGTGGTGGTGGTGGTGGCGGCGGCGATGGTGGTGGTGGCGGTGGTGGAGGCAGTGGTGGTGGCAATGGCAGTGGTGATGGCAATGGTGGTGGCAATGGTCATGGCAATGGTGATGGCAATAATGATGGCAATAGTGATGGTGATGGTGACGGTGACAGTGATGATTTTGCTGATGCTGACAATGACGATGGCGACGGCGATAACATTGACAATAACGATGAGGGTGGTGATGATGATGATGGTGATGATGATGATGATGACGACGAGGAGGAGGAGAAGGAGGAGGACGATGAGGATGACGATGGCGATGACGAGGAGGAGGAGGAGGAGGAGGAGGATGGTGGTGATGATGATGATGGTGGTGGTGTTGATGATGATGGTGGTGATGATGATGATGGTGGTGGTGTTGATGATGATGGCGGTGGTGATGGTGATGGTGATGTTGCTTTGCAACTTCCTGGTGTTCATGGGCATCAGTCATGAAATTCTATCTATGAACTGCGCAATGCCTATAAGAAGAGTTCCCAATCAATTCGTAGTTCATGTCGCAATTCCTGATTTTGTGGTCAGCCCCGTCCCTCTCAGGCCCAGGGCCAGAAAAAGATTATTATTGCGTGACCCCATCTTCACCCCCCTGGAAGGGAAATAATAGGGTAGTACTGTTGCCCATCCAACAGTATCTTATCTATCTGCATGTTCTTGACTCACTCTGTAATGAACACAAAGCTGAACAGCTTCGTTCTCTCCACTTGATCAAACCTCAAAAACGAAAATACATGCAACATGGGCAGTCCACAAAACGCGGCGCCAGCGCCTTTTAGACTGCTCTTGGCATGGGGGCGAGCAGCCCGGTCTATCCACGATCTGATGCAAAACTGAGTTCCACACGAAGATCCTGTGCTAAGACGAGCCAGGACAGGGCTGAGCAGATTCGATACATCAGCCACAGAACGGCATGTCAAAAGATCTTCAAATGGAACTGAAAAACGACCCAACCAAGGTTCCATCCAAGCAAAGAAAATCACAGAGCAAATTGAGGCTCTCTGACAATGAATGGATAGAGCCGGATCCGACCACAGCTGCCGATGGCTGATCCACCATCACTACCCTCAACAAGTCCTCGGCATTCTTGGAGATCCCAGTCTTCTGAGCGATCTGCTCGTTGCGGGTGCGAATCTCCCCAACTTCATAGAAATGCACGAAGCCATGACAGTCACGCTGCACTCGCTCAACGAACTTGCGATGCGGTTCTCTGTGTGGAGGCAAGAGCACATCCGGGCGGCGCTTGACGAACGTCTCCCGGAATTCGGCATGATCTTCGCCATGGATCTCCGGCACCTTGGACGGATCCTCTTCCATCTTGGCCCGTCGAGCTGCAAAGTGATCTTGCATGGTGCTGCATGTCTTCCATACAGCTGGGCAATGTCAGAGCCAACTCTTGTGCCGCAATGTCATGGTACTGCAAGGCGATGGCCTCCTTGGGAACCAAGACCATAAGCGCCTTGAGCAGCGGCGCTTCGCATGTCAAATGAACATTGCTGGGGTGAGACTCAACGGCGACCGCCCCAATCCGAGGTCCAGTATCCTGGATCCCAGCAGCTTCTGTCGCAGCCGTCCACTAAGCATGGATCCCAGCCAGTTGGGACATCTGCATCGTCAGATCTGGCCCCTCAACGCGAGCTTGTCGTTCACGGCACCATCGAGCATTCTGAATGAGCGTAGGCCCAGACACCCTCGAGAGCACCAACCACCTTGACGGGACCGTCATTGTCACTTGCTGATCTGAACCTGAATTCCAGCTGATCAGCGTCCATCCCAATTGAATCCTGGGAGGACATGGCTGTCATCCGAACTTCAAAGTGGCAAAGTGGAAAGTCAAGAGCAACCACCTTTCCACCGTTGCTGCAAGCATAGATCCTCCCCCCAACCTCGAACAAGGTATAGCGCCCACACGCCATCCCGTGAAGATCGTCACCACACAGGCCGGGACAAAGAGCACCTCCTTGAGCGACATCACCAGAGCATCGTTCAGGTAGTTCAGCTGCACAGTCATGTCCTGATCAGAACAGTACCCCCTGAGCTCAAGATGCAAGAGCAAGTTGCCCTCGACCATCACCTTCACATCGACCCAGGTCGACGAGTCATTCGTCATCATCGGCCAGCGGAAGGGCTCAAAGGCCGCATGGGACAAAACTGAGCCCGTGTCTGCATCCCAATTTGCACGAGGAATCCAGCCGTAGGATGTCATAGATCCGACCAGGATGAACTTGTATCCGTCGAGCGTCCCCATGTAGAACAAGTTCATGTGGTACCCCACATTTGGAGCTCGAACCAACTGACGATCCATCAGAACATTGATGCGTGACTGCGCATTGACCAGGATCTCGTCAAGCAGCTACCCCTGAAAAGGGGACTGAAGCCGACAATCGCGGCTGTCAACGATCAGCACTGAGCGCTCCTCTTCTCCAGGCCCGAGCTGTTGCACAAAGGGGGGGAGCTGGAAGTTCTGAGTGTTCTGAGCCCCTCCAACTGACATGGGGGTCCAACGCACTCCCTTGTGGCCCTTCTGCTTTGCTCGAGCTTTCTGCTGAGCGAGCTTGGTGGGCTGCTTCTGCTTGCTGCGCAGCAGCCCAGCACCTTCTTGGCCGCTTGAGTTGCAGGAGCAGTCCCAAACGCTGACCAGCCGCTTGCTGGAGCACTATCAGCAGCCTTGAAAAAGGCCTGAGGATCATTGGGAGGAACATCCTCCTCATCAGGGTCTTGCCAAGGATCATGTTCAGGAATGGTGGCTCCCTTTTGATCATTGGACTGTTCCGATCGATGGGGCTGAGCCGATCCCCCACCTTGACCTTCACCCAAAACGGTTGAAGAGGCAGTTGGTCCTGCCACAGAGCCAGCTGAGCTCATGCTGTCTTCCGGTCTGAGAAATTCCTGTGCACGAGCAGTGGCCATGGCTTTCTGACGAGCAAGGGGAGAAGGATATGCAAGGGGAAAACGAGATTCAGCCATCTACTAAGTGTGATCACCCAGGCCCTCCGACCAATATGCGCAGAAAAAGAGAATCAGAAGACCCGGTGATCACACCAATCGATCTCTAGCCAAAATGGCCACATCGATCGCAGTCCTCAGTGGCAAACGATGACCCCTGGATGACTGGGTGTGAACACAAAATATAAAAAGGGGGGAGATATATCAGAATCCGCCGGCCTGCCGGCGTGTGTTGCTTGTATATGTTTTATGTTTAGATGTAATCTTTCCCTCGGCGCGGATTTTTACGAACCCCCCCCCCCCCCCTCCTCTCCCCTCCCCGCCCCCCCTCCCCCTCCCCCCCTCCTACTTCATATCATATTATGGAAACAAAAATAATACAAGATATTGACGTTGCTGACAGGCCAGCCATGTTCTCCTTAACTTCGTGCCTTGCGCCTGCCTTCTGCTTCTTATTTCGTATGGTGTTATCTATTGTCAAACGTCATAGTCTCATTTCTCGGCGTGCCCTGTGGATGCCGTTTGCCTCTGCTTATGTTTGATGTTGCCTGATACATACATGCCAGCCACTGGTCCTCCTGCACTCCTTGCCCCTCCGCCCCTTTCTGCTTCTTATTTCGTATCAAATCAAAGCTTGTAATTCTGCATGCACGACGCTTTCTTGGAACACTCTCAACGCACGCCGGTCCTGGGCAACCGATACCACTGGAGCCTCCTGCTTGCATACCCAGCTAACTGCCGAATTCAACACCGTATGCAATGCAGCCCTAAAAGCCACAGCACCTAACGCCCCAACTGCTTGTTCCACATCCTCTGTGTAATGTTTTTCACTCGCATGAACCAACAACTCCTCCGCCGCCTTCCCCCTCCATAGGAACCCTTCAAACAGGCAATGCTGCCGTGGCAGAAACACCCCCCTGTCTAACTCCTCCTCTGTCCAAGATCCTCCCAGTACCTTGCATGGCAAGGTGGGTTGCCTTTTCAAGCGTTTCCCGACGCCTGCAATCATCCTCTCCCAACCTCTTCGGGGGTGTGGGGCATCTTCCATCACACACAACCTGCCCAAAACCTCAAACACATCCTCCTCCGCGGCATTCGCCGCTTCTCCCTCCATCCTCAAAGCGTACGCCCCAAGGTTGGCTCAAAGCTGACACGAAACCATGCACTACAAGACCATGGCTCCTAGCTACTTGCGCAGAGCCTACCTGGTTTCAAAACCCTTGCAAACATGCTGCTCAGTCTATTCCACCCTGTTCACTCCAATATGTGCTCAGTCTATTACAAACCTGTTCAATGCAATAAACGAGGACTATTCCTGGCGCCAAGCTGATTATCAGTAACGAACATGTGGAAGCCAACGCCTCTGAGCCATGGACACCAATGCATCGTGGTAAATATGTGTAAGTATCTAGGTGTAAGTAATATGTATATGTCCGTGTAAGTCTGTATGATAATGTCTAATGACTCAATGCTCCAAACACCTTGGACCCTTTCACCTGGGAGCCACGTGGCCGGCGGAACACGCCAGCGGCGGTTAAATATATAAATATCGAGCAGATCTATATATACCGATATAAATCCCAAATAGATCAAGTAGTCGAGCATTACTATATGAGTCCTCTGCTTGCCCCAGACCAACCTTACCGCTGGCATGCAAACATATATAATGTGCATATGTATATATATATATATGACCCAGTCCCCCCCCCCTGTGGCCTGGGATGGTGGTATGGTTCTTCTGGTCCCCTCCCCCTGTGGCCTGTGGTGGTGGTATGGTTCTTCTGGTCCCCCCCCTGTGGCCTGTGGTGGTGGCAGGTTGGTATGTTGGTATGTTGGTATGTTGGTTGGCATGTATGTATGTATGTATGTATGTATGTATGTGTGTATGTATGTATGTATGTATGTAGGTAGGTAGGTAGGTAGGTAGGTAGGTAGGTATGTATGTAGGTACGTAGGTACGTAGGTAGGTAGGTAGGTAGGTAGGTAGGTATGTAGGTATGTAGGTAGGTAGGTAGGTAGGTAGATAGGTATGTATGTCTGTGTGTATATGTATGTATGTATGTATGTATGTATGTATGTATGTATGTATGTATGGTCCCGTGTCCCGTGTCCCGTGTCCCGTGTCCCGTGTCCCGTGTCCCGTGTTCCCGAGAGCGTGAGCTTGGGGGACCATACCATTGGGGGGGGGCCAGGGATCCGGAGTCCGGACTCTCATATATATATATATATATATGTATATATATGTATATGGTCTCGTCCTCCGTCTCTCCACCCCCCCCCATGGGTTGGGTCCCCAGGTAGCAGCCCCAATTCCCTTAGTCATATATATATATACATGTGCTATGTATCTGCTGTGTCTACTTCCTATTTACTACCTGTGTACTCTGACAACACGACCTGTGTTTAACATATACCGTACCTACCATACATGTCAATGATGCCATGCATACCATACCTATCATATCTATCATACATAATACATACCATACATACCATACATATGAAATGTAATTGCCACACCTACCATATATACAATAGCAAACATACATGCCATACATACCATACCTACCTTACGTAGGAAATATTCCATAACCATCATAGTAACCATACATACCATACAGACCATAGATACTGTCATATCAAACATACCATACTCAACAGACTTGCATACATGACCTACCATCCATACAATACCAACCACTCATGCCATACATACCATACCTACCATACATACCAAACATACCATACTTTCCAAACATGCCATACCAGACCGACCACACACACCATACATACCCAACATACCATACCACACCCCCACCACACCACAGGGGTGGAGGGGGACAGTACCACACCCCCACCACGCCACAGGGGGGGAGGGGGACAGTGCTGGGTCCCCAGGTAGCACCCCCCTTCCCTTCTATTTGCAAGCTATTGGCAGCATTTCTGAAGTCCAGCTTCGTATTTGCTAGGTCTTTGCAGCATTTCTGATTACTAGGTACATGCTACCTTTTAGGCGACCTACGTAGCACACATACCCCTTCAAAGTACCTACGTGCTACCTATAGTCATATATATATATACATGTGCTATGTATCTACTGTATCTACTTCCTATTTACTACCTGTGTACTCTGACAACACTACCTGTGTTTAACATATATCGTACCTACCATACATGTCAATGATGCCATGCATACCATACCTATCATATCTATCATACATACCATACATACCATACATATGAAATGTAATTGCCACACCTACCATACATACAATAGCAAACATACATGCCATACATACCATACCTACCTTACGTAGGAAATATTCCATACCCATCATAGTAATTATACATACCATACAGACCATACATACTGTCATATCAAACATACCATACCCAACAGACTTGCATACATTACCTACCATCCATACAGTACCAACCACTCATGCCATACATACCATACCTACCATACATACCAAACATACCATACTTTCCAAACATGCCATACCAGACCGACCACACACACCATACATACCCAACATACCATACCACACCCCCACCACACCACAGGGTGGGGAGGGGGACAGTGCCACACCGCCACCACACCACAGGAGGGGGAGGGGGAAGATCTCATATGGGGCCAGTATATGGGACCCATCCCTGGGGGGGGGAGGGGGGGGTGGCAGGGCCTGGTGCATATATATGTGTATATATATATATATATGTATATTATATTATATTATATTATATTATATTATTATATATATATGTGTGTACATGTAGTATGTGTACGCAAAGATAGTGTTGTCCGTATGTGTACATGTTGGCTAGCCAGTCCTGTTCGGACATGCAAACGAACAGCCAAGCAAGAACAAGCATTGAATGTCTAACTGGACTCGCCTCCATTCAAACATCGGCTACGTTTCCATGTCCAAGCCACGGCTTCATCTTCGTCCCGGCAAAGTTTTGAGCTATCCACATGTGTTGACATTTCCTGGTGGCGAAGCTGGCTCTCTTTCAAGGTGTCAAATACTGCGGTTGACAGCACCCAGCGAAATACTAGCCCACAACATCTCACAACTTTGCTTGCCTCCAAGGCATCCACGCTGGGCGATGGCATGATGATGGAGTGCTGGATGCAGAACCTTAGCGGCCTTAGCGATTACTTTGTCTTGGTAAAGGATTCAATTTCGCCAAGTCGGTATAGATATTGGAGAGAGTAATGGAGCCGTTACGCCGTTACGCCATTCACACAGGTCAAAACTTACCCGACAAGGACATTTGCTACCTTCAGACCGTCATTTGTTGCGGCCCTCGTTCATTGGGACTTCCAATACAGGCATTCACTTCACGAAGTTGACCTCATTGTTATCCTCGCGGAACGTCACTAGTTTGTGGCTTGGTCAGAATCTTGGACACTGGGAAGCCGCGCACTTTTGCAATTGTTTGGCGCTCGAAATGGAAGAAGGCCCAATAACGAGTCTGCAAAGTGCGCCCGGACGGGAGCTGTGCCCATTTGTTCTCAGCCTCGTCCAGGTCTGAGTTGGGTGTGAAAGGGTCCAAAGCTTCTGCTGGCCGACGAATCCATCGATACGGATCCGGAGCAGCTGGATTTGGAGCTTCCGAGGAGTCCAAGGCTTGATGCGCAGGACCAAGAAAGAGAACCGATGGGGCTAGATTTGGAATTTGTAGGGCTCGCGTTGAAGCTGGATGGGCTTCAGAAGTGGTCCGCATTGTGCGTTCACTTGCTGTATCGCTGTAGTACTGGATGGACGTGCGTGGATCGTCCTGGGATCTTAGCTCCCAGAACTCCGCAGCATGCCAGGTCATCTTCCCGCATTTTGGACACTTCCTCCGCTCTTGTTGACCTTGGCACATACGAGGCGTCTTAAAGAAAAAGCCCGCCACGTTTTCTTCCAACTCAGAAATTTGGACACCCTGTCACACCATGCTACATTTGGCGCACACACGGTGTCCACAAGGCAGCTTCGTGTCCTTCAGTCCAGCCAGTGCTGGATTCTTACGCCCAGGGCAGCGTAGCAACGGCTCCACATTTCTTCGCCACCCCTTAGTCGCAACCACAAAGGATGCGACAATAGGCTCTGAATTGCTTATCAAGGCCCAAATTGAGACCTGGTTGCAAACTACAAGCAGCGTCAGCATTTCTACATGAATGTCTTCGATCTTTTCGCATGCAAGATTTGAGTTTAAAATCTTATCACAGCTTGTCTGCATGTTCAACAATGGGGACTGCACATCTCAAGTAGCTTGCGGGTAGCATTGCACAATATTCTTGACACAACGAGTCACCGTGAGTACAGCATCTTCTCTGACTTTCATTCACCCATTCTCCTAGATATGTTTAATTCCTTGACTCCCCTACTCGTAGCAGCAGGATACGGGTCGGATAGAACACTTCAAAGAGGATCAAAAAGGTGTGGATACCCCAGGCCACTGCTTGCTAGATTTCTATGACTTCATAAGAGAAGAGTCAAAAGTCTTGTACTGAAAACACATCTTACACATATTTACACATTACCTTTTGTCATACCTCGTTTCCACGCTCACCCCGGATGTGGTGAGCAAGCGCACGTAGCTTCCTCTCTACCCACAGTGTGAGCACATGTCCTCAACACCACCACCACCACCAACACCACCAACACCACCAGTGCAAACGCCTGTTCCCTTTTCATGTCAGCGACGCTGCAGTCAAGATTCTCTCGATACTGCCATGGCTTGTTTCATCTCCTTGAGGGTGGTCCAGAAATCCAGAATACTCTTGTAGAAGCCTTGTGGTAGATGATACACCCTGGCCCTGGACCTCAAAATCCGACATCATCTGTAGCAAAGAGCTTGGAGCTACAGAAACTTCTAAAGCAGAAACTCAAAACCATTTCAGACAAGGTAGTTGATTTGTCTGGTGTCTGTTCAAAAAAAAAATGCAACCGCGGCGCGCTGCTGCTGGCACAACTGCGGCTGGCACAGCCGGAGGTGCTGGTGGTGGCGGCGGCAGGGGCGGGGGTGGTGGTGGTGGCGACGAAGCTTGCGCAGCTTTCTCTTCGCCTCATGTGTCAACCGTTATATTGGAACTGTACCGCATCCTCAACCCCCTTGCTTGCAAGCACTTTGTTGCGAGTCAAGTCAAGATATTGTGGAAACTGCTGCCTAAAGTCAAAAACAAACCCATGTCTTGCGGTCCAAGAACCAAAGGTCATTGCTGGCCTTGTCACTTGGCAGTGACCATCATGAACGCATCAAATCACGAACGACGTATCACAACCACAAGTCACAAGCTGGCTTTTCGCACACAGTTGCGCCATGGGGACGCCAGACGAGGCTAGCTATCCCTCGACATCCATAGGATATGTCTGCTGCAACCATGGCACTGAGGGGCTGGCACTGACTGAGCTGCGGTAGCTGTGGACGGCGCAGGTGGAGCTCTCGCAGCCTGCCACGGTGCCTCATCCTCGCGCACCTTCTTGGCTGCACGAATGTACTCCTCCCCCTCCCACTCCTCCACGAGGAAGCGAGGATTGCCAGCCTGCAAAGGCATGGGTACGGTTGCAGAACCAGCGTTGTGGACACTGCGCTTTGCAACATTTTGTCGCGAGGAAATCTCCCAATCATCTTTCCAATCTTCTCACAACTCTCCAGTCCTTCCGGCCAAGGTCGTACACGCTCCACTTCAGCATCCTCCTGGACACACTTGTGGACCCTTTTAAAAGGCATGTCTACGAGGCTCTCGAGAAAGTGTCACCCGCGGACACACACAGGCCCATGAGGGTCGGGGTCGAGCTGGAGATTTGGCTACGCGCCTATGTAGTACGTGCTCGAACTTGCTAGATACTTCCAAGAAATGTGCAAAGAAAAACTGTCATGCCACACATCCAAGAGCCTCACACGTCAACAGCCTTCCTAATTGAGCCTTTCAAAACTGGCTGCAAGGGCCTTAATTGTCTCCTGTCCTGAACAAGCGAGCATGTTCCCAGTGACGAGAGTTGCGAAGAGCTTCTTCAACATCTTTGAGCCTTACCCAACCCTGCTGGTCGCGCTTGAGATGCTTCCTCCTGACAAGCTGGATGGTATCAATTATCAAAGGATATCAGAAACAGGTGAGCGTGTGGCTGCTGTTGCAGTTTGACTCGCTCCCTTTGCTGCCTATATCTTGGACTGTAATTTCCGTCTCTCGGCTGTCAACGTCAAAGCTTGATTGTGTCACGCTTTGTCAAGCAATTTCACTTTGAGACCTTGCACGTCTACTTTGAGAGCTCGTGTGTGTGTGTATATGTATACCATCTTAAAAGATGCAAAACTGCTTCTTCTCTTTTGCTGTTGCACGAGGTTTACCTCTTGGCTTCCAATCCATTTGATGAATGCATGGTGACAGTGCTCTATCATGTTACTCTGTCCAACGAAGCTGTGCATCAGAGAATGAAGCATCCACTGACCATGGATGTGTACCTGCAAGTTTGTGTTTTCCGACATAAGATGCGGCTAACCCGAGAGCCACCTAGTCCTTTGCCATTTCACACTGATTTCATGTTCTGGCATTCAGTCGATGTTGAACTTTTGTGGAGGACGTCCTGTAATGTGTTCGCAGTTTGACTTCTTTTATGGTCATGGCAGATTGGAATGTGCCTGATTTTTTTTCCCTACAGGGCACTTGTGCAGCGTCTACCAAATCTACATCGGGATTCTGGATCTGTCACTTCGACTTCGCAACAGGGACGGATGTGATCGTCGTTTTCCTGGGATCGTACTGTATATTTCTGTTATATATTTTATATCACCGTTTTCATGGATGATGCAGCCAAGATCCCCCACTGGGGAATTTTGTTTCAATCTAAGTGTGCATCTGGTCCTAGAGATGTTTGGCACTTTCCCCTGGCACTTTCCTCCAACAATTGGATCGCATCACCACAATTGACTGTGCAGCTAGACCCGCGGTCCTAGCTTCCTCCGGATATCTTAATATCGGTGATAGCCACCGCGACATGTCATCCAGGATCTCAACCTCCTGCTATCGCCGGAGCAACGGGAGATTCAAATCACCAGACCATCAAAAAACCATGTCCTTGAAATCATGGCAGGTCGTAACTCGAGTCATCACATCACCAAGAAACGCCCCCTTGGAAAAAAAAATGACACATTGCCCAAGCGGTCCTTCGGAGTGTATCTCTCATTGGAGGCCATGAAGCTGCGATAAGCCCTCAAGAGAGTGGCTAATGTATCTATTCGGTTTTGTCCCACCGGTCTGCTCCCAGCCTAATGAAGATGATCACTTTATGTACCAAATGTTGTGTACTGTGTCAGCTTCAGAATCATTTGAAAACTAGAAAGCAGGTAACACTGCAAAAAATCCAAACTTTCAGGTCATATCTCTCTTGTCCATCTATTCCCCACTGCAGCTGAGCTCTGACACAAGCTCAAATGGGCGCAGCCATTGGGTCATCGAGCCCAAAGGCTTCCAAGTTTTCGTGAAATCTGGTCCAATGACAGCTGCTCAAGGTGGTCACTCCAACTCCAACAAATATCGAGCAGTGCACATGCAATTTCATCACGGTGCTCTTGATAACTGTAGCTACAATCATGCATGGATCCATCAAAAAATGAAATGCGCAGTCAACATTTCAACATGTTTCGACTTGGCTATTGGAGAGGCATCTGCCCACGCTGCAGCATTTGGAAGACTTTTCTCATGCCTCGCTTTGCGACAAGTCATACTCCTGCTGCCATGCAGCTTGAAGCCTCAACTTCAGCTGGCGCGACTCCATGGGTTTAAAGAGCAAGCAGCTCTCTGGGAACAGATGTTCAACAGCTTCTGCCCAACCTTCAGAATTTTATCCAATGATTGACTCTCCTCCAGCATCTTTCTATTGCGTCCAAGCAACTCTTGCGCCATCTGCGCACGATCTTTCTTGTTTTTACTTTCAAGAATGCCTGGACGACAGAAAGCCACAGCTGTCACGGTAGCCAGGCAGGAACTGAGCAGCTCGAAATTTATCGAGCAACAAATGCCAACTAACAGGCATCTGTATCTTGAGGCTACTGAAGCATGATCTGCTGTGACACTTCATACCCTTATACTGCCTGCCTTCACCAACCTGCAAGACACCCATCATTAGCTGACAGCAGGCCTGGTGAGAGCAACAAGAATACTCAGGCGCTAACAGGCACACAATGTCTCCAAAGATCCCATGCCAGGAACTCTTGTAAGCCTTTGACACAGACCCTGCAGAGCCTTGAACACCATGAGCAAGAGCCATGATGAAAATTTCATAAATCATCACCACACCACTTCTGCTGTTCTCTCCAGATCCATTCGGAATCAACCATCCCGAGGTTTTGGAGCGCCTCCACCACTGACCCTTGGCATGCCAAGAGGGCCATGGCCAAAAGCCCCCGCGAGCGCTTGGCATGGGAGTCCTTTGAAGCTGAATCCGTGGGAAGGCGTGGTATCACACTTAATTCCAAACCAACTACCACCCCTCACTTTGGCATGGTGGTTCGACACTTAAAAGGACTCTCTTCCTTCCAAGCACTAGCAGTGCCACCAACTAAAACAAGTACTCAATGGACCTAATTCAAACCTTTGCCCTTTGGCATGGCCACCCGGAGGTTTACCACCTTCATCCCCCAGGTTGGCAAAGAAAGGAAACCAAAGCTGGCCGTCCTGCGAATCCGCACCTGATGCTGAGAGCAAGTCTTTACGCCGTGAAATCGGGGTTTCCACAGTTTGACTAAACATCACAAAACCGCATGGCCTTTTGCATTAGCTGAGGTGTCAATCTGAACATAAGGTTCCTAAGAGTACCTGACCCAACAAACTCAAACATACCGTGTTATCTCTCTATGGAGGTACTGAAAAGGTTTCCAGGCCCCTGACCTTTGGCTGTCTTCTTGATGATCCAGTCCTCCAGCTGCAAAATAGCATGGTATCGTGCGAAAAATGGGAGGTTACCCCCAAAGTTGCTGTCTTAATTGAAAGAATGGTGATAATCCTTTGGAATTCCGGCCACGCATAGCTTCAGTTTGACCATTGAAACAATTGGGCTTTGGTCCTCCGGGATGGTATGGCGCACACCATTCTCCAAGAACTGGACAACTACTGTGCCTTCACTAGGACCTAGGCAATTGAAAATTGAATGGTGTGCGAGAATGCATCAACTGCAAATGAAAGCGCACGGATTGCAGATGGTAGAGTTACATGTAAGTCCGTGAGTCTAGCAAGCCGTAAACGCCGTAAACACATTGGGTAGTTGGATATTCCTGGAAGAAAGCTCCTCTGCACATGTTCATGGAGACTTCAAAGTGAGGAGTCAGAATAATGCTGCAGTTCCTGTCTGGTGATGAGCCCCCAACTAGAAGACAGAACTCTGCATTCTTTGGCCTTTCGGCTTTTTCCAGTACTGCCATCTTTGCGCTTGGCCTGGGATGGGGAAGGGACTGAAGCGGATGAGATGTTACCAGTCTCAACAAGGGCAATGTCACAGAGTCAAAGGCGGAGGAAAACGTTTTGGTGCGGAGTCCTGGCCTTGTAGTAGGCATTTGTGATTTCGGCCAGCTCAATTTTGAAGTCTGGCGGGCCAGTTGTTCAAATAGTGCAGGGAACTCCCTTGAGGAGTCTAAGACTAGACCTTTTCGCTCCAGTGACCAGCTGTTGCGAACCATTTCTTCCGATTATATATAGCCATTTCCTCACCGGTCTAAGTGCAAGCACAGCACCAAGAGCGCTGCATGCACCGAACCATTGGCCTCCTGGGCTTGAGGAGCTGGAACTCGACGTCTCCAACACATTGTCATGGATGTCCTACAAGTGTCAGCACAACCTCTATTGAGGTCAAGCCTATTTTTCCATGCAACAACATGTTGGGCGACTGTTTATCTGTTAACCTCATTCCATGATGTAACCGTTATTGTCATGAATACTTGCAAGACACATCCGCAAAATCATCAGCTGATCAGCAAAACATATGCCGTAACCTTCACCAAAAGATCGCCTGCTGGATACGCTCCGACATCCGGTTGTAATTTCCGATCAGATTCTCATACCAGTCCGCTGCCAGCTTTCTGGCCTCGCGACAAAATAAGAGGTAGAACTCATTTCCAAAATGTCCTGAGGGATTCCAAAGCTGGGAGCAAATGACATCTACAGAAAATGATAGTTGATATATAGATTATAGTTGATGATACTTGATTATAGCCAATGATTGTCCTAGGTCCGAGATGATCCAGTCATTCCAGATCTTCCAGAGTGTCACAAGCTTCTTTTGCCTCACCCCAGCCACGCCTGCACCTCCATGTGCAACTCCTCCGCATTGGCCGGTGCTGGTGGTGCCTCCACGGCTTCAGGCTCCCACTGCCCAGTGCCACCAGACAGGAGGCTCGGATGACCTGAGATCCAACAGGATTTTCATTGAGCAATGAAATAAATGAAATAGCCTCAAAATCAACTGCAATCCTCAAAGTTTGCAGGCCAAGCTGCAGTCTTTGAACAAGCTATCAAAGAGCTGTTCGCAAGCAGCCTGCGTCATCAACTTGTTCTTGCACCAATAGAGACCATGTGCGCGAAATCCCTCAAAAAAAATATTGGATCAATCCAAATGTATCTTCACCTTGGATCCTTCCTCCACACATGTGTGAGGAGGAGCCTCCTTTCCAGCCGCCGGCAGGGGCCGCTGGATGAAGCGCACCAAGGGCAACAGCCGGCCGCTGGGCATGGCATCCATGGGCAAACGGAGGAAGGCCTCGGAACCTCAGCTGGGATCCTGGAAGTTTGGTACATGGGGATATCTGAATGGGAACATTTATATAAATCATTTTAAAAAGGGGGAAAAAAGGGGGAATGTGGTAAATTTGCGATGTTCTAAGATGTTCTCCATTGTTCTCCCATAATATAAGTCATATCAGACACCATTTGGATCATACCTGAAAGGCTCAAGATAAAAGAGTGGGACCTTCATCTCTTTGCTTTGCGCAAATTCCAAGTGATTAAGATCTAGGAAATTCATCCAATCTACCATCCAAGTTCATCCCACCTTCCACACAGCTTGGCAAAAAAACTGTTGCACCCTGATGCACCCGACTCAAGTCGATGCCGATGCGTCTCTGCAAGAGTTCCACCTTCGCCTGTGCACAACTCCCGGTTGACATGGGATCACTGGGATAACCTTGGATCAACGGAATCAACGGAATCAACTGTTCTTTGAACTGTTTCGAACTGTGGAATTACTGTGGAATTACTGTGGAATTACTGTGGAATTAGCACACAGTTCAATCAATGTTCATCTCCATCAGGATCACAAGGGCATTGGATCAGTTCCTTCTGGCAACGGTGCCGCCTCTTTGACTCCCTCTGAGTTGCCCTTCCAATGCTCAGGAAGAAGGCGCAGTGGAAGCGGCACCTCGGATGTTGGAAATGTGGATGATCTGAACAGATCGGCCGAGGTGACGACCAGAAACCCAATGTAGAGATGTTGAATCTCACTGTCAGCTGGAACTCTGTTCAATTGAACATGTTCTAAAAATTGATGGTGGCTTGGGGCAATCTTGAGCATGTAGGACCCCCAGTGCCAAAAGTTGTGGCTGAACCCTTGTCTCATCCATGCGCATTGTAGCACCACCAAGCCGTGCCTCGTTGTAGGCATTCACCTCTGGCAGTGCATCCTCTCCATCCATCCGGAGTTGCACCTGGCCAAGTGTCTGAACATGGAGCGAAATGACTGGTGACTTTCAGTGACTTGGACAGGCGATCATTATGGATAAGGGCACGATCAGATCTAAACAGATATGAATATTACAACAATATTATTACCTTGCACAATTAAATCAGACGATCCACTTCCTATATCAACTTTACAAGGGCCAACAAGAGCCCACCTCTCCATACTGCGTGAAGAGCTCCTTTTCGCAGGTGGCAATTGGGGAGCTTGGTGGTGCAATACATTTTCGTTGGTGCTCCAAAACGAAGATGAAGAGACTGAAGAGACTGCTGGATGATAGACTCTCAAGATTGCTATTTGAATCTATTTGAGCCAATGAAAGGCTCTATGCCGTCCTGATTGCTAACAGAGTCGAAGCAATTGCGCAGCTCCATGCCAGGTTCCAAATCAGCTAACCTTGCACCAAAGGAAATCGCGAAGTGTGACAATTTGCCAGAATTTGTGACAATTGGATGCGTCGAAGTGGCAACCCCAGAAATTAAGGATGCTATCCATCCTGAAATAGATCACTATCCATACATATATATATATATATATATATATATGCGGGCATTTGGGGGTCCCTCAAGACTTGTGGCCAGGCACATGCTACGCCTGCTACGCAACCAAGGAGCGCCACGGCAACCATGGGACCACTGGCCAGCCCATCGTCACCCACCAGGATAGCTGGATCGCCACTGGAGTCGTTGCCTGGGATTGATCTATGGCCATTATGATGCGAAAATAATGAGAAAATGATGATGAACCAGTGGATGATGTGGATGATGTGGATGATGTGGATGATGTGGATGGAATGGAATATCCTATTTTCATCTATTTTCAATTATTTTCAGACTAACCCATACTGAGGAGGAAGCGTTGCTCAACTGTTGTGCCCCTGCTCTTAATCCTCACATTGTTTTTTCATCATACAAGAGATCACATGCAGGAAAGGAGCGATGGTAGGAGCTGCGGTAGCACCGCAACACTGGTTGCCGAGGAACGGAAATGGTCCAGCACCGGCACAAAGGCACCAGCCACACTGCTCGTGGTGATTGCCCTGCATTCTACGAGGCAAAGAGCAAAGCGGATATCATCCTGCAACACGTGAATGGAGGAACAGGGCACTTGAAACCAGCAGTCATGGCGGAGTTTGCCCTCTCAACAGCCACGAGTCAATAGGTCATACCGTCATACCTGTAATGAACTCTGAACAAATCAATGGTTTGATCCGTGCAATTTCGCATGGGTTAGACTTGTCGCTGATTACCATTCCGTTGCCCTGTCAACATCTTTTCCGTTCTCGGTCTCCTCGCTTGCTCCCGGAAGCTTCTGCCGAAGGCGCTCCACACGCTGTTGCGTAAGTTCCTGCAACCAACCAACCGAAGATCAAATGGCTCAAATATCTGAATTGTTTCTCAGGTTCATGGTCTAGCCTCTGGCAAACTAACATAACTATGGAAAATCACAATTTTTAATGGGTAAATCAACTATAAATGGGCCATTTTCAATAGCTACGTTAAATTACCAGAGGGTACTCCAAGACAAACCATCCTAGATTATATTGTGGAGACCCTGCTTGGACAGATAAACACAGAGATCATGCGCATGAAATTGAATGTCAAGGAAGAAAAAGACGTTATACAAGCTGTTTAACAAGCACAAAAAAAGAAACAATCTAGGAGTGGCTACTCACAAGCAGTGCTCGCTTCGACTCCTGATTCAACTTTGTACAAATTCCAAGAAATTAAGTTAAATCTGTATAGAGTATTAAATCACTAATTATGAATTAAAGAATAGCAAATTCGTTAATATGATTCAATATGAGTCCTGTAGCGCCAGCACAGCATTTTGCACTTCCTTGCATCGAGACAACCAAGAGATCTCCTGCACAGCTGGTCACATCAATCAGCAAACTCCACCAACGGAACTGATGTTGTTGACTAATTTCCAAATAATGCAGTGGTCTCCCATTTCCCGTCTGTTTCTTCCGCCCTTCAGATTTGTCCCTTATTCAAGAATTAAACTGGGATAAAAATAGACAATAAGATCAATAAGGGAAGGAACCCGATACTTGCGACACCATGTAAGCTGTCAAACAACCATGGGGCGTCTCAAGCATATGCCTGGAATGACGTGCAAAACATCCCCTACTGGCATATGTCCCTCCTCCTGGGTCCAGAAAATGGGATGCTGCACCAAATCCTGCAGACCAGATCTGCTGACCAACTATCAGGATTCCACCTTATGAACTAACTGCAACGATACGTCTTTGCTAGAACATCCCTGATCTGCAGATGAACATCCATGTGAATGAGAAACCCCTGGTGAGCAAGGAAGTGTGCACACTTTGAGGTCATACATTTTTGAAGTGGACATGCAAGGAGTCCTTTGCTGGAGAATACCATAATAACTTAGCTGCATGTGCTGCTTAGCTGGTTTTCATTCACAGCTCTGTGATTCTATCAGGCAACAAGCAAACGGCCCCAATTCCCTCAGTCCCGGCGCCAAAGAAAATCGACATAAGGTTCAAACTTCGATTTGGTGCCTGACAGGAGCCAACGTGTCAGGTACATCGCGGGCTCACAGAGTCGTGCTGAAACTTAGGCTTCTGGTAAACGCTCTCAAACAGCAATAGTAGAGCCTTTGTTTGAGGATGAAGATCCAAATCTCATGCCAAACAAGCGAAGCATACAGCATGCTTGATACCAACACAACAGCAGTCTTTCAACTGCTATGGCCTTTGGATTTCTCCTTTAGCAGTTCAGCTGCAAGTGACTCCTCCAAGTAACCACTCCCAGGTCAACAGCAGCAGGTGGTGCTGCTGTCTCTGAAGTCATTGAAGTCTGAAAATGCACAGGTGCAACCTGTTGCAGATGCAAGGCGCCCTTTTGCCTTTGACGTCGGAACCAAAATGGCTTAGGCCTGCGGTCACACATTGAAAGTGTCCTGTACATGCAAGCAGGTGAAATGACATGCCAAGGGTTCTGATGCAATGCTCAAACTTTCTCAGCTGGTATATTTTCTTGTTGCTGAAGAACCCAGGGCATGAACACTGTAATCAGTGTGTTGGCAATGCTTCCTAATGCCTCATGTCGATTGGGCAAACCAACATAGGCTTTCCGATCTTCCAACTGTCGCCATTCTGCGTGGCCGTTGGGATCAACGAATTTGCCAAAAGTACTTCTGTGCGGGTACTTTGAGGCTTCAAATCTCGGCTCTGGAGTTCTATACGAACGTGCATTCTTTGCCACGTGCACTTTGTAGGCACCTTTGTTGTGCCAACCTACCAATTCGCTAAGGCCCAGCAAATGGCCAAACATTGGGTTGCTTGCATCTACGGCTCGGCCTAAGACTAAGCTATCTAAGCTACTGGCTGTCTTAGTCGGTTTCTTGACTGTTTGCTTTACAAAGCCAGGGGAAAATGTTACACACCACTCATTGGATTGCAAAATCCGGGCCATGTGATCCAGTTTCATCAGCTTCGTGCCTCCATCCACGAACATGTTGTCGGTGGCGGTCCACTTCATCATGGTGGAGTCTCGGCGTAGCATGCTGCGGATCCAAGCTATGGTGAATGCAAGGCTTTTCTGACTTCCATATGTCGGAGTGTCACTGTTGCACTTGTCATAGTTGTCTTTTGCATCTGTCACCATCTGCAAGGGGATCAAGTCCATGCTCTGCTCGGCAAACGGCTTTTCCATGGGGTAGCCCAACATCTCAGCAAAGGCTCCTCTGCAGAAATGTCCGGCATCCAAACCTTCCTCAGACGCAAGGAGTTCTGCGCCGAAGGTTGATCTGCAGACTCTTCCAAGTCTGTGGCTTCTGGCGTCGATCAGGTTGAATCGACCAGGCTTTCCTTCCATCAACTGTTCATCAGCCAGCAAAATGACGTAGGTCGCCTGGCTGAAAACTCTTTCCACCAACTCTCCTTCACTGCTTCCAGCCTTCGTCACATTCCCCAGAGAGGCATCGGTCACAACCATCAGCCCACACCGTGCAAGGTCTTGAGGAACGTAGCGGAACGCGAAATCAGATTGCAGTTTTGCTTGGCGAACAAGCGAGTTTGCTTTGAGTAACGTCCCCACAACTTGCTTATCCCCTTGTAAGGTGGACAACTGAAAACCTAAATCAGCCCTAAGTTGGGAAACCAACCATTGCAAACTTCCTAACAAAGCTCTGAGTTTCTTCTGCTCATCTGGAGTCAGCGGAGCATCAGGAGTGCGGCGCCGGTGCATAGGAACAACTGCAGGCGCCAGGTTCTCATGGTACTCCTTCATGTCAATGGAGATGGAGTGGTCAGCATGTTGTGTGATGCGCTTGCCGCAATACACAAAGGATCCACGTTCCAACGAACCAAATCCCAATTCTCTGCCAAGTGCTTCCAGGGAAGCAATCGCCACCGGGCTTCCACCCATCAGCAAATCATCCACATGGCTCACTACGATGCCTTCCATAGTTTTTCCATCATCACTCCAAAGAAACCACATCGCAGCATCCAGTGAAGATCTCTGCCAACCCAACTTCGCCAAGGATTTGTGAAGACGAAGGTACCATCGCCTTGGGCTATCGCTCAACCCAAAAATCCCTTTTCTCAGTCTTGCAAGTTGGCCTTCACCAAGAGGTAGAAGCGGCTCATCGCCATCTTTGACTTTGATCTGGCCCAGGTAAAGTTCTCTCTCACCTGGGGCAAACTCTTCTCCTTTCAAGAAGGCTGACTTCACGTCAGCGCTCAGCAAAATCCATCTCCGGGAACTTGTGAAAACTAACAGCAAGTGGAAACTCACCCTTGAACACGTCGGGGCGTCTTTTCGCAAAACATGAGCTGTCAGGTCACGGTATCCGGGAACCACTAATCTTGCAGAGGCTTTCAACCCAAGGTTATTGGTTGAGGTGCGAAGTCCGTCGTGCTTGTCTGTGAAGACGAACCTCGGTGTCAGGATCTTGTGGCCTTCGCCACGGAGTTTCAGTCGCTGGCGAATTTCTCGGGCTTCTTTTGGCGAAAGAACTTCGACAGCTGAATTGTCAACCCAAACTCGCCAGCCATCAGCAGCTGCAAGGCGAAAACTTTCCTTGTAGCTTTCATTCATCTCAGGCCATTTGTATTCTTTTCTCGCGGTCTGCACCGCATTCACTTCAGCACTTCCAGAAGGCCAGGGAATACCATAGTGCTCATGAGCCATCCATTCAGATCTGCTTGGCAGCGGCCAACGACCATCCCAAGAACCATGATCATCGGGGGCATGATCCAACGGCTGCTTCTTGTCTTGCTCGGCCAATCGCACGATCTGCTTGAGCGGGTGCTCATAGTCATTCAGGCTTTCTGAAACTGTGGAAACCTTCAAGGTTTCATGGGATTCTCCAGGTGCTTCAGGAGGCGGGTTGCCTTCAGCATCTTGAAGACGTTCAACTGGAACATCAGAGGCGCGCTTGCGACTCTCATCCACAACTTCAGCTTCACTAGGGGCTTGGCTTGCAGCAGCTTCAGGTCTGCTGCGGGGCAACTGAGATCTCGGCGTTCTCGGCGTTCTGGAACCACTGCGTGCAACTTGAGGCCTGGAAAGTCCAACGGAAGGTTGCACTGGAAGTCCAGGAATGCTGCTCAGCAAACTGCTACGTCTCGAGGGAGGAGCACTGGCAACATGTTGAGACAAAGCTGGTGCAACGGCGGCAACAAGTTCTTGAGGTTGGAGAGCAACAGAAACAGGTGCGGATGCTTCAGCAGGTTGACTGGCAACACCTTGGTCAGCATAGGCTTCTCCACCTTCAACAGGAGGCTCAACCACTAGAGGGCCTTGAACTCCACCGTCTCGGTCATTCATTGCAGCTTCCACAACATCTTGTATCGCAGACTCCCACTCTTCCATGGTGATTTGCTCCATAGTGGAGGCTTTGCGAACATGCTCAATTGCAGCTTTGACAAGTTGACCCTTGTGGGAAATGAAACAGTTGCTGTGTCCTTCCATGGCCACTAAAAGTCCAGGGCCATGCCAACGCTTCAGGCTGAGCTTGCGCTTCGAAGGACCTGTCTTGCTGTTGTATTTGCTCATGCGGTAGTAGTAAACTATCATACCAGGCTGCAAGGCTTGGGCATCGGTCACAGTTGGGGTGCGTGACCTGGCCATTTCAGCTCTTCTCAAACCTCTTGAAAAATGCAACCTCAGCATGGCAAGCTTTGCAACTTCACGCATTGCAACTTGTCTGGCAAATGAGGGTCGGCATTCGACCAAACCATGCTCGGACAAACGCTGTCCAAAATCACCCAAAACATCACCAATCATCCTGGGCTGACGGCCCAATGCAGCCTGCGCCGGTGTGACACCAGCTTCATTGATGTCGCTGTTGTAGGCCATGACTGCTTCTTGAACGGCTAGGTCGACATCGTCAGCTCCAAGCAAGGATTGGCTTTTGATGACTGCTGTTGCGATGGCTTTCAAAATTCCACCACCTTTCTCACAGACACCATTCTGCCACGGGGCTTGCACTGCCGTGTGCCACAGCAAAATTGAGTGCTGTGCAGCCATTTCTTCAAACTTCCAAGAAATGAACTCACGTCCCTGATCCGCCACCAAAACTCTCGGAGGGCCGAAGATTGGCATCCATCGGCGAACCATGAAGTTCACCACAGCGTCAGCAGATTTGTCTTTGAGCACTTCAGCCATTTGGAATTTGCTGACACTGTCGATCGCATGAGCAACATAAAAACGGTTCTCAGCCAAATCATGCAACTCAAAGAGATCTATGTGAACTTGGTCTCCTGCATCTTTTGGCGTAGGCAAAGTGGCAGGACGTCGGGCACGTGGAGGACGTCTCTCTTGGCATATGGAGCATTGAAGCGTTTTGGCGGCTGCTATCGCCTCAGGTGGCGCACCCGCAATGGCGAGTGAACGAGCCAATCGCCTATTGGAGCGATGGCCAGTGTTGCAGTGAAGCTTCTTCACGGCCTCTTTGACCGCCGCTGAAACCTTCATGTTTGCTGGTAGAACTTGAGCTTCATCGTCGCTTTCATCGATGTCTCTAAATTCCATTGGGGGATCGACTTCGCGATCCAAGGCATCTTCAAGGTCGCCATCAGTCTCAGCTCCATCAACTGCCAAGGTCTCATGGATGAAGCCACATCCATAGGTCTTTTCAAACTCTTCCTCCAAGCCCTTGATGATCTCACGTGCCAGCTCTTTGGTGTAAAGTCCAGCAGCAGCTGTGACACGTGATCCTCCCATCACCTGTTCATGCTCATGGTCTTTGTTGCATCGTTTGCCATCCAAGCGATCAGCTATCTTCTCTGAGCTGGTGACAACCTTCGTGGGCTTCTTGTGCAAAAGTCCAGATGGCCCACGCAGTTTGAAACGACACTGATCGAAAACTGCTTGGTGGCATTCAAGTCGCCGAAGAAAACGCTTCAGCTCTGCCAGGCTCCATGACTCCGCTGTCAATGGGTTTTCCAAAAGAAAATGCCTGCCATGTCGAAGCTGCAGCTCGGCTAACTCGATTGCAAACTTGATGAGAACACGTCCTTCAGCACGCCGTAGGGCAAGGTCTTTGGACGGATTCAATCTCATCAAAGCAGACCAAGGTCCACAGGGAAATGCTAAAGCCAGCAAATAAGGCTCTTCCTTCATGACCACCTCCTTCGCAGCTTTGCGGTCAGCTGCTTTCAGAAAATTCCAACCAGTCTCAAGTGACATGGCAGAGCCAACTGAATGGCCTTTGTTGGCGGCTTCCTTGATGATTCTCTGAACTGTCGTGAAAACCTCAGAGACAAAGACGCCGTCAGGCTCAGGGGGTGGCCGAAGTCCAGGGGCCAGGACAAGTGAGGAAACAAAACATTCATTGAGGCATGATTCCATCTCACCCATCCATTCAGCTTGCATCACCGCATGAACATCACCCTTGGAAATCAGCTCCTGGTCACGTTTGTGCTTTTGCCAGGCTTGGGCAATCTGCTGTGCTTGACCGGTTTTGATGCGGTCAGCTTCAAGTCGCCACTCCGAGGTGCTGGGTTCATCGGGCATTCGAAGTCCATCGGCCCGAGCCTCAGAAAGTCCAAGAGGCTTTGATTCCTGGGGTATTCGAAATCCATCGACCCCGGCCCCAGAAAGTCCAAGTCGAAGGGGCCTTGCCACTGCAGGAGCAGTGTCTCGAAGTCCATCGTCACCAGCACCTTGAAGTCCATTCGGAGGGCTCAAGAAAGATGATCCACCGCATCGGCTCTCTCGGCCGGTGTCATCCATTCCATCTCTTCGCCATGCACTGCCCAAAGTTGCTCCTCCTCCAGCTGGTCCGCATATGCGGCGTTGATCTCGCGCATCTCCTCGTCTGTGAAATCCCTCGGGACTGCAGCTGCTGGCACTTGCTGCAAGGACACCATGTGTTGCATCATTTGATTCATCATGGACTGGAATCGCAGCTCTTGCTGTGCCAACATTGCTTGGATTTCTGCTGTCGTGTTTGCGGAGGCGAGAGAAGGTTCTGTAGGATGATCCGCAAGAGGACGTGGAGGTGGCGCACTTTGCGTCTTTGGTTTGGCTCCTCTCTTCGCAGCTACTTTCGCTTTTGCGTCCACTGCGTCTGATGAGCTGCTGGAGGTTGCGACGCCTTTCAAAGTTGCCAACATTGGCTTGATGGCCTCTTTGATCTGCTCGACCTTCATCTGGTCGTTCAAGTCCAAGTTGAGGAGAGCGCCCAGCTTGAGCAAGTCTCCTTTGAGGGTGGGCAGACCGCCCTTCGGCCCGATCAGCTGTCGCATGGCTTGCTCTTTCGTTCCAGCTGCTTCCAACTTGGCGGCCTCTTCCTTGGCCTCTCGCAACATCTCCTTGCGAAGCTTTGCAGCTTGGCCCTTCATGTAGCGGGCTGCGAGCATGCCATCCAACAGGGGGCTTTCCAAGAATGCCAACTTCCAGCCCACTCGATTGCGGAAACCGCTGCATTCTTGGAGATTCTTGGCCGTACACAAGCCCATGGTCAGGGCCTTTTCTCCATGTTTCTTCATCAAGGACTTGTCCAGCACCATGTCCTTGATTTGTTGCGCCCACTGCTCCGGATTGGTTGTTGCCGGAAAGGGGAACGGCAAGTATCTGATTGCAGGCCGCTGCACAAGCCATAAGAGCAGCCCAGATGCGTGCCATTGAGCGCGAATGGCCAGCCGGAGTGCCATTCGACACCATCGGCTTTCGGAGCTTGCTTTGGCCTTTGGTGCTTGGTCCATGACTGGTCGTAGGGCTCGTCACAGGCGATGTCGAAGTCGGCACACCAACTTCGGAACTCGTAGGGGATGTCGTCGGTCGTGGTGGCTGCGTCTTGAGAGACATAGCTTGAACCGAAGGGCCAGGCAAGGGAAAGGTCAGCACTGCCAGGTGTGCTGCATTGAAACCCTGCTCAGTCACCAAATGTTCATGACTGCCACCATGCTTTTCAAACTGCTTTGACATGTTCAACTTGCGTGACAACCATGCTTGTGAGGTGATCTGTTGCTCTAAAATTCCATCAGGCCCCCAACGACGCCATCTCAAACCACCGAGCCTCGGCCAGGTCGAAGGCACCAGGCTCAAAGCAAAATGCCCAGCTGCGACCTGGGACAAACTGATGAGCTTGCCATCCAAAAAGTCAGGGCGCAGCTTCTGCTTGGTAAACGAAATCACGGCTCCAATTCCGTCCAAGAAGTCACGTCCCAACAGCAAACCAAGGCTAGGAACTTTCACCACGCTAACCCAAACTGCTAACAAGTTGTTTCCAACCATCACTGGCAATCTATACCTCACGCTGCTTCTCTGAGTGCCCCCGTTGCCAAATCTGAAGAGCTCATTCTCCTCAGCAGTTGCCACAATTGCTTGAACTTCCGGGGGTGCATGTTGCAAGGTCAGCAGAAAGTGCTGAATCCAAACTTCACCAGCACATGTGCGATTGCATGCAGAGTCCAAAGCGCCCATCAAAACTTTGTCTCTCGACAGGCCAGGCACGGGCTTGTCTTCCTGCTTTGAGGATTCCAAGGCTTCCTCAAATCGCATGCTATCGTGGTGAACCATGTTGATCTCGTTGGAGACGGGCGGCTCATCCAGCACATGTTCTGTATTTAGGCTTTCAACAACTTTCACATGCTTCTGAACAGCGGGGCGTTTGCCAGCCTGCTTGGGTTTGTGAAGTCCCGCCCCAGGCTTGGGGCATTGTGGGTCTCCTCCCCAGTGCCCAAATTCACCGCAATCCCAGCATTGCGTCTTGGTTTTCTTCTTTTCAACCTGATTCCCATTCAGCTTTGGTTTGGACCCAGCAGGAGCGCGACCAAAACCGCGGTCCCGCTTGATCTCATTGATGCGGGACCGAGCTTCCCGCATAGTGACAAGGGATTCAGCTGCTTGTTCAACTCCAGCTTCAAGTTCTAAGACTGCGGTGTCAAATTCACCGCTTTCTTCCAACTCTTGTATCTCTGCAGCCAAAACCTCAGCCTCGCATTGCAAAACTTCTTCCAGGTTTGGACCATTTGCATTTCCATCTCCGTCATCAGGAATCAGCTCCTCATCGCCCTCAGGCTCAACTTCAGTTGCATCTTCAACCACATAGGCCTGACGGCCGCTGCTAGCAGAGGAACTGGGCCTTCCAAAACGGTAGGAGCTGGAAGTCTTGAAGGACTTGACTGAAGATCCAGCGCTGGAAGGGGCGCCACTTCGCAGGCCATGTTGATTGCTACTTTGAAGGAAACGTTGAAGTGGGTAGGATTTGTTGTCATTCCCACCAACCGGCTTGGACTTGTAGAGGGGGTCAGAAACATGCAAATCTCTAAACAACCTCAAAACTTCTCGTTCCACTTCTTCGTAATCCTCTTTTCCTTGAAGCGCTGTGTCAAGGAGTTGAATTCGAAGTGCGTCCAAACCCAAACGGTCCTTGAGAAACCAACCAAGTTCACCTGCAGGAAGTGTTATGCCTTCCCTGCGCATTTCACCGATCAGCGTTCGGTATCTGGTGCAGAAAGTGGAGATTCTTTCACCTGCAGAGCGACGGATCGTCTGGTAGAACTGCTTTCGCAACTCAGCTTTGCGATCCATCTCAGTGCGACCCATGCTAGCTTCCAGTGCTGACAGAAGCTTTCGGATGCCAGAAAAGGGATCAGCTTCTTCTGCAACAACCTCAGCTCCTGTATCAGGATCGGCACGTCGCACTTCTGTAGTTCCCTTCAAATCTGCAGGGTCGAACTCTTCACAGCGAGCTCGAACTACTCCGCTCTGCCTCAATGCCCAACGGGCTGCAACGTTGTATTTCTTGCAACTCTCAGGGTCTAAGGAAGCTAACCACCATTCCATTTCACGTTTGAAGCTTCGCCATTCCGATGGGTCGCCAGACCACGTAGGCACTTTGTACCATGAAGAGGTACCTTTGTCCTCCTCCGCCATGATGACGACGAAAGGTCAGGGCCAAAATGGCCAGGAAAAACCAAAATTGTAAAAGCTCTTGCAAAAAGGAGTGGCCTAGTTACCACTCGGCACCCTAGCTGGTGCCAGCAAGGTGAAAAGGTAGGGCTCGGACACCAAGCAATGCTAAGTCCAATCCAAATTCCAAAACCAGAATCCGCAGGAGTCAAAGGCCAGGAGGTAGGATGAACAGCGTTGCAATGCAAAGTGCAAAAGCCCGATTGTCAGGTCAAATCCAACAGCGATGCCTTAGGCAGTGACGTTGAAGTAAAAGACCTGGAGCTCACCGTCCAACACAGAGACCTTTGGATCCAAGGTGAAGCAATCCACCGAGGGCAAAGTCAAAGATGTCGAAGGTGAGGTGGTTGATGACCCAAGCAAGCAAGTGGAGCGGCGCAGCGGCTATGGCAAGGTGCAAGGATCGGTAAAGGCTCCGGTGCCACTGAAAATGCACAGGTGCAACCTGTTGCAGATGCAAGGCGCCCTTTTGCCTTTGACGTCGGAACCAAAATGGCTTAGGCCTGCGGTCACACATTGAAAGTGTCCTGTACATGCAAGCAGGTGAAATGACATGCCAAGGGTTCTGATGCAATGCTCAAACTTTCTCAAAGTCATATGCGTATGGTTGAAATGGAGTGCCAAAACGCGATGGTCTACTACTGATACTACTGGCAGCTGCAAAGCAATGTTGTTCCCCGACCCCCTAAACCCCTGGTTTTCACATCGAAATAGCGTCAAAGGTCTGACTTCCTCCACCACTCCTCAACATCCACATCATCAGTTCCCGGCACAGTGATCCAGGCGCGCTTTGGAATCTGCACGGAGCACAAGAAACCAAAGCGGTTTCAACCCATCCCAAAAATGACTTCTCTACTGGAATCATCATCGCAGGTGACATGAAAATCAAGCAGCACAACTGAAACCATCAAGCAAAGCAGGATTGCACGGTCAATGGTGGCATGAGACCCTTGGTGTTGAGGCCCGTCACACTGGAGCACAAACATTGCAGAAACCCAAAGCCTCCAGAAACTTCTGACCAGTGGACAGCGTTCCGCGCTGACTGTCTCGCAGCTTGAGCTTCAGCCATACACCTACCAGGTAACAACAGCCTGTACAAATGCTGCAGCAAAAGCTGATTCCTTGTGACTGGTAACGATTAGTACTAATGCCTCCTAGGTAGAAGCCTCTAGATCGCTTGCAATGGATCCAAATTCGAAGAGTGGTATGAGCATCCCAGAAAATGGGCAAAATGTCGCAAACCAAAGATATTTGGGCCTGACTTGCTGCCCAGTTCAACAAGGTCCAGTCCGCGAGCACCCAAATCTTTCAACCACAACCTCAAC